TTTACCAAGTTCAACGTTAGCCCGATTAGTAAGCATTTATCTGTTTCGCTGTAATAATAAGATGTTGTTTGTAACAAGCAGTTTGTTTGCTTGGGGAATGGGACAAATTTTAGTCATAAATTGCTTGGAATTTTTAGCAGTCTGGATACAGAAAAATAATGTTATTAGGTCGATCATTCGAAAGTACCTAGTGAGAAATTCTATATTTTTTATTTTAGTAAATTATAGTTTTGGAACTCTAGTATGTATTCTAAGTATTCAGTCTTTAGGCAGAACACCCTTACCTATTCCTACTCAGAAATTTAGTGAGGTCTCAAAAATAGAACAAAGGGAAAAGGAAAGGTTGCAAAGGGAGGAAGAAAAAGACGTAGAAAAAAAAAAGAAATCCGCTGAAAAAGATCCTTCCCTTTTTTCCGAAGAAAAAGGTATTTTGGAAAAAGAATTGGACTTGAAGGTAAATGAACCAGACTTGGAAGGGTCTGATTCCGAATTGGAAATCCTTGAAAAAAATGAAAATAAAGAACATATTGTGGCTCTTCTTTTTGATTATAAAAGATGGACTCGCCCATTTCGTTACATAAAAAATAATAGACTTGAACAAGCTGTAAGAAACGAAATGGCACAATATTTCTTTGACATACATAAAAGTGATGGAAAAGATAGAATATCTTTTACCCATCCGATAAGTTTATCAACGTTTTTTCAAATAATCAAAACAAAGATACCCCTTTTGTCACTAGAAAAAGATATTTCTAATACATTGGACAATTTTTGGGTTTCTAGAAACAAACAAAAATTAAATTCTATAAAAATTGATTTGCTAAATCGAATTAAAAATCTTGACAAACCAGTAGCAGTTCCAATAATCGAAATTGAAACAAACAAAACGCGATTATGTATACACAATGATGAGACTAGAAAAGAATACTTACCAGAAAAGTATGATCCCTTGTTAAATGGGCCTTCCCGCGGAAGAATAAAAAAAGATATCACGTCGATAAACGATACTTCGATCAAAAAGTTGAGAGAGAAGGTTATGCTAAATAGACTTCATGCTTTATTGTTGATGTCTACTTTTGAAAAAAAGGAAAAAAAACCATTACAAGTTGGTGAGTTCTCAACTTTATCATCAAGTTTCAATTTAACGGATTCAGAACAACTAACAAAATTTTTAGTAAATGCAATTGAGACAGACGATAAAAAATCTTCTGCAATAGAAAAAATAGGTAAAGAAGAAATTGGTAAAAAAGTCCCCCGATGGTCATACAAATTAATAACTGAATTGGAACAAATATCGTATTTTACAAATCCACCAGATGATCATGATATTCGTTCAAGAAAAGGGATCAGTGTATTAATTTTTGAAGAACCTAAGACTCTCAAAGATAAGACTACAAACAAAGATAAGAATACAAAAGATACAAATATTCAAGCTATAAAATCCGACGATAATGAGAAAGATAAAAATATTAAAAAGAAAAAGGAAGATGAGGATAATAAGCTTTTTTTATTACGATATCCGCACCAATCTGATTTTCGCCAAGGCTTAATAAAAGACTCTATGCGAACTCAAAGACGTAAAATAGTTATTGAGGGACTTTTTAAAGCAAATGCGCATTCCCCCTCTTTTTTTTGACAGGATGAGGAAAAAAAACCTTTTTTTCTCTACCATACCTGGCTCAACTGAAACGGCTTTTTAGAAAATGGTCATCCATAAAAGAGTTTGGGATTTTAGAATCTACAGAGGAAAAAAAAATAATAATAAAAAGAGAAACCAAAAAGGAAAAAAAACGACGAGAGGAAATAGAACGGTTAGAGATAGGGGAAGCCTGGGAGACTTTTCCATATACCCAAATAATAAGAGGTTTTTTATTAATAACCCAATCAATTCTCAGAAAAAAGATTCTATTACCTTCATTCATAATCGGTAAAAATATCGGGCGTATGCTACTATTTCAAACTCCTGAATGGTCTGAAGATTTAAAGGGATGGAATAGAGAAACGCATGTGAAGTGTACTTATAATGGTATTCCGTTAGCTGACAAAAAATTTCCGGAAAATTGGTTGACAGAAGGTATTCAAATCAAAATTTTATTTCCTTTCTGTCTCAAACCTTGGCACGAATATAAATCGCTAAATTCTCGTGATGACTTTTGTTTTTTAACAGTTTGGGGAAGGGAAACAGAACACCCTTTTGGTCATCCACGACAAAAACCTTCGTTTTTTAAGCCTGTTTTTAAGGAACTTTACAAATTTGTAAAAGTAAAAATTAAATTTTTAAAAAAGTTTTCAAAAAAAAACACAAGTTCAAAAGAAACAAGAACAATACACCCGAGTGTAATAAAAAATGAAAAAGATGATCTAATAAATAACCAGATAATGAATCAACCCTTGAGTAAAATTGAAAAAATTACAGATTGGAAAAATTATTCACCGATAGACAAAATGCAGGCTATCACTCATAGGACAAGTACAATTAAAAAAAAACTAGAAAGAATTACGGAAGATAAGAAAAGGGTCACTCTAGAACTTGATATGAACCCTTACAAAAAAAGTTCGAGATTAGCCTTGTCAAAAAATTTTTGTCAAATGTTGAAAAAAAAAAAAAATAGATTAATATATAAATTTAATTATTTTATAAAATTATTTATTCAAAGAATATCTAATTGTATTTTTTTATATACTATATCTATTTGCCAAATGACTCAAAAAGTCTTTGTGGAATCAACAAAAATGAACTCTCTTTCAAATTCAAATATAAAAACGCATAATAATAAGCTTTATAAGGAAAATTCAGAGAGTTTTGGTGATTTATCCAACTTGTCACAAGCATATGTATTGTACAAAATATCAGAAAGGGGTTTTTTGAACGTACGTAATTTCATATCTGTTCTTCAACAAAATGGAACATCTTTCTTGATTAAAAAGAAAATAAAAGACTCATTTCATACACAAGGAATACTTCCATCTGAAGGAATAAAAAAACAACTTAAGCGGCCTAGAACGAGTCAATGGAAATTTTGGTTAAAAGGGAATTCTCACTACGATTTATCTCCTAATTTCTGGTCTGCCTTAAGATCACAAAAACAAAAATGGAGAAATAGGGCGAATCGCTATCGTAGGTCTAAACAAAAATATTTAGACAAAAGGACTTCCGGTAAAAAATTAAAATTAAATACTTACAGGAAACAAAAGGATGCTAACTCAGTCTTGAATAAAAAAACAAAAGATAATTTAAAAAAATGCTATCGATATGATCTTTTAGCATATCAATACATTCAGTATGAAAAAAATAGTGGAACCCCTCCAGGAGCTAAACGGGAAGCAATTTCTTATCATTACAAGATGTCACAAAACAACTTGTTTGCGATAACGAAAAATATTCCTATCACTAGTTTCAGAGGAAAAATAGAAAGGTTAAATATTCCATATCCAAAAAAAGATGTCGATAGAAAATATTTGAATTGGAAAAATATTGATTTTTCTCTTAAAAAAAAAAGCGAATATTGAGTCCTGGATCACGGGTAATTATAACAATACTCAAAATACTCCAATTTTCACTTACAATTATCAATTAATTGATAAAATGGAAGAAATTTTGAAAATTGAGCAAATTTTTAAAAACGAAAAAGATCCTTTTGCTCTTTTGATTCAGAAAAATACCGAAATGAATCGACTCCATTCTAGAAATTCTTTATTGGATTGGATGGGACTGAATGAAGAAATACTCGACCGTCCATTAACGGCTGAGGAACTTTTGGTTTTCCCCAGAATTTGTGTGGTTTGTTAATTTATATAAACTGAAACCATGGATTATACCAAGCGAATCACTTATTTCAAATTTGAATCTTAATGAAATGACAAGTCAAAAGACCGGTAAAACTCAGAAAGATAAAAAAGATAAAACTGAGAGTAAAAAAAAAGATAAAGCCGAGGGTCAAACCAAAAGTGAACCTGAGGGTCAAACCAAAGGTGAAACTCAGGGTGAAACCAAAGGTAAACCTGAAGGTGAAACCAAAGGTAAACCTGAAGGTGAAACCAAAGGTAAACCTGAAGGTGAAACCAAAGGCGAAACTGAAGGTGAAACTGAAGGTGAAAAGAAAAGTCAAACTGAGATAGAACTAGAGTTATTCATGAAAAACTATTTATTTTTTCAATTTAGAGAGGATTTTACTTTAAATCAAGGCCTTTTCCAAGATCTCCAAATCTATTGTCTCTTGCTTAGAATGATAAATCGAAAAAAAATGATGCTATCATGGATTCTAAGGGAAAAGTTAAATTTGGGTCTAATGCCACAGATGGATCAGAAAGAGAGTGTTCCAGATTCAAAAAGAAATGTTCCAGATTCAAAAGAGAGTGTTCCAGATTCAAAAGAGAGTGTTCCAGAATTTTTAAAAAAGAGACGGGATTTTTGGTCGACCCCCTTCCGCTGTCTATCAAACCAAATGGAGAATTTCTTATGTATGAAACGATAGTTATTTCGTTGGTTCATAAGAGTAAACAAAATTCTTAATAAAGAAGACGTAAAACAAAGAATAATTCGCGCTCGAGAGAACAATAATTGTGATCCGCTTCTTATTGAAAATATTTTATCATCTAGGCGTCGTAGAGAATTAAGAACTCTAATTTGTTTCAATTCACACAAATGGAATGGCGTGGATGCAAATTCTCTAGTTTCCAACAAAAATAAAGTTTGGGAAGAAAGCAACCCTGGGCCTAAGGATCAAAATAAATTAATTGAATTTTTTCTTTGGCCTAATTATCGATTGGAAGATTTAGCTTGTATGAATCGTTATTGGTTTTTATACTAATAATGGGAGTCGTTTCAGTATGTTAAGGATCCATATGTATTTACCATTGAATTTAAATTGGTGGAAATTTAATTGATAGTAGTACTATCTACCCTGTAGCAGGGTAGATGGTAGCAGGTTAGATGAAAACCAATATGGACACATACCCTATTTTATACCTCATTTTAATTTGGATCTAACTGAATTGAG